AGATAAGGAAGTAGGCCTCTTTCACAGAAAAACTGGGTGCTTTTCAGTCAGCTGCCTCTGCGGTGGGCCCTTAGAGGGGGTGAGTCTGTGTGAGTGCCTTAAGAACTGTTTCTCAGATCACTAGCCCTTTCTGGGTTGTGTGGATGCATGCCCCGTTGTCTTTCCAGGAGAGGCGTTTTGGGGGCCCATCTCTCAGGTGCAGGTCCTAACAGTTGGAGTGCCAGATGTGGGGTTCAAACCCTTTGCTCCTCAGTGAGAAGCTCAGGGTTGTGGGTTGTCAACTGAGGGTGGAGTTTATGGAAGAGATTGTGTCTCAGCCTCTCTACTTGTTTTGATGAGGCTTGTTTTCTCATTTGCTCAATACGTAGGAGCTGCTGGTCTAGTTTTTGGGTTTCTTTCCATATGGAAATTTTTCCATACATAGCTATAGCTTTGATTTGTCCATGGCTGGAGGTGAGTTCAAGAACCTCCTGTGTTGCCATCTTGAACCAGAACCACGTGGAATCTCTTGTATCCATCAACCCACCTTCAACCATCATGACCTCATGGCCAGGATCCTTTCAGATATACTCCCCACCTTCTCCCTTCTTAGTAATTTCAGAGCCAGCCTCAGATATGTTTATATACTGTATTATAGGGGGAAAAATTGAGACACAAATTAGAGCTAAATTCTTTGCTAATCTGTTTCTCTTGTGAAACATACCTTTAAACCTTTATGTGAAGAAGGATTTTACTGGACTGACAGATAGTAATCCACACCAAAATAAAGTACCAAAATAGATAGATTTCTTAATTTCAGCCTTCTGTCATCCCTCTTCTTTTAAAAACATTTTACTGTTGGGTTGTCGGAAAAGTCATGACATATTTTTTCTGTTTTTCATTGCAAAAATGCGTCATGACTTTTCCAACAACCCAATACTTTTTCCAGCGTTACTGAGGTAAAATTGTAAGATATTGAAAGTGTACAACATGACGATTTAATATGTATATACACTGTGAGTCCCCCATTGAGTTAATACACGTCCATCATCCCACATATTTATTTTATTTTTAAACTCTTTTAGTAAGTTTCAATTATATAATATAGTGTTACCAACTATGGTCACCAAGCTATTTATTAGATTTTCAAAGTTATATATTATATTCTCAGACCTTATTCATCTTATAAATGAAATTCTGTACCCTTTACCAACCTCTCTTTGTTTTTCCCACCCCCTAGCTTGCACAACCACTTTTCTACTCTCTGTTTCAGTGAGGGTTGACTTTTTTTATTTATTCCACATATAGATGATACCATGTGATATTTGTCTTTCTCTGTGTGGCTCATTTAACTTAGTTTAACTCCCTCAAGTTTCATCCATATTGTCTCAAATGATAGAATTTCCTTCTTTTTTTAAGACCAAACAATATTCCCGTGTGTGTGTGTGTGTGTGTGTGTGTGTGTGTGTGTGTGTGTGACATTTCTTTATCCATCAATCTGTCGGTGGACACTTAAATTGTTTTCACACCTTGCCTGTTGTAAATAATGCTATGAATATGGGAGTACAGATATGTCTTCAAGATAATGATTCTGTTTCCAAAGGAAAACAGAATATACCCAGAAGTGGGACTGGATCCTATGGTAGGTAGTTCTTTTTTTTATTTCTTGAGGTATCTCCATGGTGACTGTACAAGTTTACATTCTAATCACCAGTGTCTGAGGTTCCCTTTTCTCCCCATACTTGCCAGCATGTGTTATTGCTTGCCTTTTTTATTAAATAGACTTCCTAACAGGTGTGAGGTGATTTTAATTTGCATTTCCCTGATGATTAGTGTTGGCTATTTGTATGTTCTCTTTAAACCATTTTTTAATTGGGTTGTTTTTTTGCTAGTGAGTTGTGTATGTTCTCTGTATATTCTGGGTATTATCCCCTTACTGGGTATGTGGTTTGCAGATAGTTCCTCCCATTCCACAGGCTGCCTTTTTATTTTGTTGATGGTTTCCTTTGCTGTGCAGATACTTTTTGGTTTGATGTAGTCCCACTTGTTAATATTTGCTTTTTTTTTTTTTTGGATCAAAACATAATTTAATAAAACATAAAAAATAATAATATAAAGATAGCCTTGGGGACAACAATGAATTATTGCTTTGTAATCACCAAATGTTGCACTTTAATGACAACAGCAGGTGGGAAACAGTACACAAACCAAGTTGTGCATACAGTAGTCAGCACGGATATAACGGTGCCACACACAAGAGAACCGTGATTTGCTGAGTTGTTGCTTGTATTCAATACTCTAATATCTAAATAAAAATTTCTAATGCATTTTTTAAAATGTGAGTTATAAATTTGTTGCCTGTGCGTTTGGTGTCAAATCCAAAATATCATCTCTGAGACCTATGTTAAGGAACTTACCTCCAGGTTTTCTTCTAGAAGTTTATGGTTTAAGGTCTTACATTTGTCTTTAATCCATTTTGAGTTAATTTTTGTGTATGGCATAAGATAGTGGTCCAGTTTCATTCTTTTACATGTGGCTACCCAGTTTTTCCAAAATCATTTATTGAAGAGTCTACACTTTTCCCATTGTACATTCTTGGCTCCTTTGTAATATATTAACTGAGCATATAGGCATTGGTTATTTCTGGTTTTTCTGTTCTAGTCTATTGATCTATGTGTTTTTATGCCAATACCATACTGTTTTGATTACTATAGTTTTGTAATATAGTTTGCAATCAGGAAATGATGTCTTCAGCTTTTTTTTTTTTTTTTTTAATATTGCTTTGGCTACTTGGAGTCTTTTGGGATTCCAAATTTTAAGACTGTCTATTTTGATTCTGAGAAAAAATGCAATTTGAATTTTCATATGGATTGCACTGAATCTGTAGATTGCTTTGGGTAATATGGACATTTTTACAATATTAATTCCTACAATTATTGAACAATTAATATTTTTCCATTTATTGTGTCCTCTCTGATTTCTTTCATTGATGTCTTAGTTTCATTGTACAGATTTTTCACCTTGGTTAAATTTATTCTGAGATATTTTATTCTTTTTTGATTCTATTGTATATAGAATTTTTTTTTCTTTTTTGAGTAGTTTATTGTTTATAAAAATGCAACTGGTTTTTGTGTCTTGCAACTTTACTGAAATCGTTCATTAGATATAAGTTTTCTTATGAAGCATTTTAGGGTATTCTATATTTAATATCATGTTATCTGCAAGTAGAGACAATGTTACTTCTTCTTTTCTGATTTGGATGCCTTTTATTTCTTTTTCTTGCCTAATTGTTCTGGCTGGGACTAACAATACTGTATTGAATAAAATTGGCAAGAGTGGCATCCTTGTTTTTGATTTTAGAGAAAAAGCTTTCCGTATTTCACCATTGAGTATATTGTTACCAGTGTGTGGGCTTGTCATAAATGGCCTTTATTATATTGATGTATGTTCCCTTTATACCCAGTTTGTTGAGAGTTTCTATCATAAAAGGATGTTGCATTTTGCCAGATGCTTTTCTGCATTTATTGGGATGATCATGATTTTTATCCTTTATTTTGTTAATGGATTATATCACACTGATTGATTTGTGGATGTTGAACCATCCTTGTACCCCTGGAATAAACCCCACTCCATCATTGTGTATGATCTTTTTAATGTTTCGTTGAATTAAGTTTGCTAATATTTTGTTAAGGATTTCTGAATCTGATTTTTGAAGCTAATTTTGTTAATTATTTTCTGGTTGCTTTATAAGTCCCGTTCTTTCCTCTTTTGTGATCTTGAGATTTGATGATTTTCTGCAGTTGTATGCTTTGATTCCTCTCTATCATACACACACAAAATAGACTTTGGCTGTGTTTACCATGAGGCTTACATAAAACTTCTAACAATCTGTTTGTTGTGTGGTGCTGTGCTGGGCATGGTGTTTATGGCATGTCTCAGCCTTTCCTACCCATTTCTGTGTTGGCATTTTCTCTTTGGTGTGTAGGAGTAGCTCAGCTAGTTTCTGGATCTCTCTCAGAGGGAACTGCCCCATGTGTAGCTGCACATTTGGTGAGTCCATGGGAGGAGCGTGCTTGGTTGCCTCCGATGTCGCTATGTTGGTCAACTTCTTACCATGAATGAGAACTTTTGCTACAAGGAGTTGTGACAGACTCATCATCTATCTTTGAACTTAATCCACATTTTAAAAATTGTGACCATTGTTGGTTTAAAACTATTGGAATTTTAATTGTGAGAAGGCTCTTCTGCTCTGCTGGAAGTTTCCCTTGAGTCATGCCTACATTCTTATATATTACGCTGTATAATTATGCTTCAACAAGATGGTCACACGTAGTATTTGTAAAAGCTAATACTGAGAGGGGTGAGGAGCTCACAGCGTTGTCTACAGTCTGCTTTATTGTATTGATTACTGTGATTATGTGTGAGGAATGTTTTGGCCCTTCTTCACAAAACCACCTCCAGAATCTCTGGGATGGAGCCTGGAAATCTGCATTGACATGCTTTCTAAAGTTTGAATTCACATTGCCCTCTCGAATGTGTCGTTATTTTCATTGACATCATTTGTCAGTTTTTACACCTACCAGTTTATTCTCTTGCTCCTTCTTTTATTACTAGATGAGCTTAACATCTAATTTGATGTGCAGCTCGATTTCTTAGCCACACCTTCCTCAGAGGAAAACTGGTATCAGGTATTGGTATTCTGATGGGGTTAAACCAGGTACAAACAGCAGAAGCAACTGCAATGTCTTTTTTCTTTCTTTCCCCAAAATGTAGGGCACAGGGGAGAAAGCTCACTCAGAGACTGGTTTATATTTTGCAAAAGTTCCACAAGTGGTTTTGACATAGAAATTTTAAAATTTGTTTTAACTTAGGAGTTTGTGCATTTTTTGATAGCTTGGTTATTTATCCTGCTATTCTGTTTTTATACCAAATCAGAAGAATTGCTTCTCTTGTAAACATCTTTAACAAACCAACCAATTTTAATACAGATTTTAACGAGTTGTGATTTATTTTTCTCATAGGTGTCATCTTTAAGAAATGAAAAGCGAAGCTCGTCGTATCTTGTCTCTGCCCCAGAAAGTGGTTCCGTAGAATTTGGTGACCAGCATCCTCAGGGCACAGGAGCATATTACATGGAGACCTACTTAAAAAAGAAGCGAGTGTACTGAGTTCTCTCCTTATACAACCTCCTAAGGTTCTCTGCAGTATCTCTGCTGTTCATCGCTGCCTTAACTACATTCAGACTAGCCATATCCTTTAAATACGGGTTTATCATTTCCCAGAAGGAACTGTGTTGTGCAGCAGGCAGAATTGCCAAATAAAAAGTAAGTAGCAATAAGAGCAGACATCAGTTGAAGACATTTTCCACTAGAATTAGATGCATCTTAGTCAATGTGATATTAACGTATAGTCCATTGCAGAAATTAACAATATTCCTTGTTTAAGGACTGGGAATAATTTTGACACCATATATAAAAGTCTGAAGCAATAAATGGGAAACAGTTTTGTTTCCAGGGCCTTAGAAGAATGAGTTTCTTATAAGCCAATGTGCATTTCAATTGACTTTCCCTGATAATCTTATTTATAGATTTTTTTAGAACTATAAGTACAAAATGCAGTGATGGTCATGTTATAAAGATGCTCTATATGCGAAGTAAATTATTACCGCACCCCACACACACCAGCCATGCAATATAAAACCCAATCACAGAGAGCGGTGTCCAATGTATACACTACCACATATACTTACTTTTAGTATGTTTTTAACCACTTATGCCTTTTGTGAAAAACAAGGTATTTTAAGAAAAGTAGCTTTGGTGATCTAATTTTAGGGGTTGGCAAACTATATATCCTGGGGTTCAGTCCTCTACCTGTTTTTGTACAGAGGACAAGCTAAGAATGATGTTTACATTTTTAAATGGTTGGAACAATGAAAATTTATGACCTTAAAATTGTATGAAATTTAAATTTCAGTGTCCATACATAAAATGTTATTGGAACACAACCATGATCATTTACATACTGTCTGTGGTTACTTCTGTACTACATGGCAGAGCTGAGTAGCTGGGACAGAGACCAGAAGGCCTGCAAAGCTGAAGTATTGACTATCTGGCCCTGCAAGCTTTCAGAGAGAAAGTTTGCTGACCCCATAGTACTGATTCTCTAATTCTTTCACTTAAAGAAAGACCTTGAACTTTTGCAGCAGACTTGTCAGTGGCAAGGAACATGGATATGTCTCATTTCATAGCATAGACGAGTGATGATCTAATTGGTAGAGCGGGACATATCCTGATCATCAGATGCCCTATTTCCACACTGTTACAGTGAAGCGGTCAGTCCTGTGCTTACTGAAGGAGTCTGCTGGAGGAACAGTATTTATAGCCATTTGAGCTAGTAAGCTTTACCTCACGCTCTGCTTTGTCTCTTATCCTTTTGTAGTGTGTTAGGCTAAAAAATTATCAGCTATTTAACCTAATTTACTTCTGAAAAAAATTGTTTATTGCATATATACTTTTGACATCACCATTTCCTAAAAACGTTGGTATTAAATGCATGAGATAGCGTCTGCCATCTAGAACTAAGTTTGTTCCTTGTTCTGAGACTGTAATTGATGATATGAAGTTTAGGGGGTCTCGATGATCTAGTCTTATGGACTCAGGTCGTTCAAAACCTTGTACTTTGGGGGACTTATGATTTTTGACCATGATATAAGGTTATCTATCCTGTTTTAATTATGAAGTTTAAAATTGGTACATAATGTTGTATGATTTGTGAAGAACTTGACTTGGTCTAATTTATTGCTTATATTAACTTTTGGAAAATGACAGCTAGAAAGTTAAACTAAGGTAATTTCTAGGAAGTATACTACCTATAAATAACTGATCGGGATAGGCACCCCTTGGTTATGACTCAGCAGATAAATAATGGAATCTCCATGCTCTGCACGTCTTCCCATTTTCCTGTTGCGTTAAGCTTCTTCCGTGCTTAGTCATGACTCAGTGATAGCATAAAACAAACAGAAGAAAGGGAAGATGGTGAATTTTAAATCAGAGCTGCAAAAATGAAAGCAGGAAGAGGCTGAAAAAACTAAGAGATTCTGGATGACAGCACATGTGGGTCTGCCATCCGTCCTGGGCTGTGCCCCATTATACCATTGGACATAACAGAGAAGGACAAATAACGTACTGCTGGTAATGACGACCATTACCAACCCTTCCCAAAGTATACACTGTTATTTTTCTAAGTAAACGAATTGTTTGAGATGCTTTGAAAATGAAGTCTTAATATTAAAAGGCATATGCATGTGAAGTCTCTAGTACATTTATTTGTATAAAGAGTAAACAAAGTGCATATAGAGTGGCCACAGGTTTGACACAGAGAGAGACCTTGGTGATGTAGGGTTAGCCAACAAATTTAAATGGCAAATTCATTGCTGCCATTGAATCAATCCAGAACTCTTTTTTCAGGTTCAAAAGGTGGAAAATGACACTATCAAATGCTGCATAGCATTAACAAAAAGTTTTTCAGACTCCCTTGGTCATAAAAATCTTATGGTTCACATTGAATCAGAGATTAGACATTTGGATGACCCAGCTACCTCCACGCAAACTGAAAACTGCCTAGTGGATCCCGAATGCCATCATGCTGGGTCTCTTCTTTCAAGTCTTCTGATGCTCCGGGGTGATGGTCAAAATAGTGATCGACTCTTGCGGATGGATGGTAAGTATTGAAACACTCTAAGAACAGTGCACTGTATGTGGTATATATTCTGACTGGTTGCATACAGCATCCAAAACCAATGCTGGGATAGCCTGCCCCCAAGTGGTACAGTAAGAAAGGGATATACATCGACATTTCTTAAAAGCATGTAGAGCATCCAGGTTCTTGGAATCGAATCTGATTAAAGGTACACCGTTTAGGAAAGCACTGGCACGGGCTTAGTTCTCAAGAAATAACATCATGCAGCAAAGATCTATTCCATGGCTGTCCCCCTGGGTGTGACCAGTTTTCTCAGAAAGAAAAAAAAATGGGTACCGCTGGTCACCCAAGGGGACAGGAGCTAAGCCACTGGAGAAACAACTCAAAAGTTTGTCCTACTGGTGACAGGAATGCAGGCATCTTTGTATAGAAACAATAGTATACTACTGGTATCTAATATTTCAAGAATGCTTGGTTTATGACTGTATAGATAATGAAATTTTAGGGCATGTTACAGTATTGGCTAAGTCCATTCATCCTTAGCTTTGATTTATGTGCCAGAAAAACATTTCAGATCAACTGGCAGCTGGGAGAAAGCAAGCATCCTGAGACTTGACTAGGGTAAGCTCGTTTTGGAAAATCCCATTCTGGTAAACAATTGTGAGGGCGAGCTAGACGGATGAAATGGTGGCACATTCTTTCCAAAAGGAGGAGTGCTTTCTAATAATTTGGTGGTGGTTCTTTGTCACTATGTTACTGGTGCCAAATTTAAGAGGGAGTACTTACACATATTAAGCACTACAGTGTGCCTTATGCATGGATACGTACCCAAGTTCTTTTTTTAGACTATAAACTTTTTCCATTAAAAATTTTTTAAATGACTTGGGTATTTGTTAGGGGGCAGGGAGAGGAGGAGGACTTGATTCACCGTGGGATTTAAATGTTACTCATGCTTCTTATTTTAAAAGTGCTTCAAATCCTTCAATAAGGTTCTGAAAAGTTGTCCGATTAGATGGTTGGAATTCCCAGCATTTTCTCATAAGCTGATAAACCTATAAAAAGAAAAAACAATGGTAAAACTTTAGATTTGGGATCTTTTTAAAAAATTATAGACACATCAAGAGTAAGAATATTTTGGGGCCGGCCGAGTGGCGTGTTGGTTAAGAGCTGGCTTGGGATGCCAGAGGGCCCCGGTTCGGATCCCACATATGAGGGCCAGTGACACTGCCCTCCACAGCTAAGATGCTGAACAACAGCTCAACCTGGAGCTGGGCTGCTGTGAGTCGCCGGCGACGGCATGGACTACAGCCCCTGCTGCAGTGGGTTGCCATGGGCTACCGTATGTAGCCAGCAGCTGCAGTGAGCAGCAGTCCAGAAGCCGGCGACTGATCTGCCTCTCCCTGGGGGAAGAGTGTAATGATGGTGCCAACTTGGGCCAGTGAAGCAACGTCCTCCACAACTAGACTGAAGAACAAAAAAAGGACAGCAACTTCTCTGTTCCCCTTCCCCCAGTTCCCCCTCCCCCCAAAAATAAAAAAGAGTAAGAGTATTTTGGAAATGGAAATGTAAGACTAGAAAACAAGAGTATTTGGATAATTTTTAAAATACAGAAAATGTGACAACCATTGTTCATAAATAATATTTTAACATTTGAGAAGCTCATAGATTAACTGACCTCCCTACAAAATCCAGGTCATTAATTACTGTAAAGCAGTTTAAGGGTGAAGTTATATCTCAGTTTAGACTCTAAATTTCCACACTGGTTGCTTCACTCATACTCTTCAGTACATCTTAAATAGTTTAGTTTTAAAGGTTCAGTTCACTTTAGAATACAGAAAACTGAATGTCATGCACAAATTGCAATTATATGTATTTGTCACAATAAGTCTACACCAAAATATATGCTCCTTCGGGGTGCTCACTGAGGGCCTAGTTTTGGAGGGAGTCCTTGCTTTGAACCTAACTTGTGGCTGTCATCGGGCCCTGAAAAGATGATTTCTCAGATATCTGAAATTCAGCTTCAGAAAATGATTTTAAAGTTTTCTACTCCTTCCTGCCCCCTCCCCAGTCCCTTGATGGTAACTCAAGCTGTGAAAACATAGTAAAAACTGAGTTTCATTACTGTGAAGTGACCCATAAATACCTCTTCTGGACAGTTAGATGGACAAGGCAAACGTTTTCCTTCTTTTAATGTATTCACAAGTCTTGTGACTGTCATCTGGCCGTGAGTAGGGCCTATCATTTTCAGGAACAACTATGTAATAAAACCAAACAAAAGGTTAAGGTGAAATTTCGAGAATTAGCTGGAAATTAACATAACAAAAAGGCTTTTCTCCTTTAAATAAGAGTCCAAAGTTCTTATTAGCTCTCAGTGATAAACCTGTAATCCATCTCTCAGACTCAACCAACCACACTCCTTCTCCTGGTCGAGGGGTCTTTTCCAGTGGGAAGACATCATTTAGGAATCACGGGGCTCAGACAAGGCTCCTACCCAGTGCTCTCTCACTCTCCCACGTAACTGTCCCTGGACTCCTCACTCAGCTAAGACCCCTGAAGATCAGGGTTATCTTAGGGAACTTTGGGCTCCTTGTGAAACCAAGACTTGCAAGAGCCACAAATAACTGTCAAGTAAGTAAGTTAAATGGAAAGTGACACTTTCCCCTTCCATTATAACCCACTGATTGAATTCCAATGAAGAATAACACTTGCAAAGCCCTAGGTGGACACATTGTAATTGGGTGCTAAGTTCAAATGAAGAGACCAGTCAGACTTACGGCCATGGGGCTGGAGTCCGAATCACAGTAAGTGAGCAGCTCGTGCAGAGTCACGCCGAAAGACCAGACGTCAGAGGCGATATAAAATTTACACTGAATTAAACATTCTGGAGCATACCTGAAAGAAAACAGAGCACAAAAGTTCATTTCCTGGGAAGGCTATTCCGCCAGACGTTACCGAGTCACTCAGAAACACCACCTCTTCGGTCTTTCTTAGAATTCACTATTGTAAGCCATGTACGTATAGCAATCACATAGGTGCTACTGTGACGCACATCCTGCCATCTAGAACAATGTCCTTTACAGGCTTTAGGAGTACATGTTTGCTCAGAATAATAGTAAGACAAGTGTGTGCTCTTCACCTCACAGCACATGCTGCCCTGTGGGGGAGGGGAGGCATATGATGACAGGTCCAGGATTTATTTGCCTGCAAGCTCAGAATGAGTCAGCAGTGACCCACCTCCCTGCCCAGTTCTCTTCCAAGCTCAACTGTTTTGCTGAATGATACCCAACTGCCTAAGCCAGAAATTGAGGCAGCCCCATATCGGATTTCCTAAATACTTCTCAGACCTACTCACATCTCTTACTCCACTGTTACTGTCCCAAGCTCACACCACTACTGGCTCCAACCTTGCTCCCCTCCAGTCCACAGTGATCTTTTTAAAACAAAACTCCGCATCTTTAAACCCTCCAGCGGTATCCCAATGCTCTCGGGATGGTGTCCCCGCTCCGTAACTCAGCTCCCAGTGCTCTGCCTTAGCAACCCGCTTCATGAGCCAGCCACACAGCTGATTCCGGTTCCTGAGCTAGCCACTGCTCTTGTCTCATTCTCATCAGCTGCTGCTAACCAGTTTTACAAACCCCCATGACTTTTAAGGTTTTATAGTCAGGACTTCCAGAAAACCAAGCCCAAACTGTCTTGTAATTCTGGTACCATGAAATTGGCTGCCATTCATTCACTAAACTTTAAACATGGTCTGCTTGTTCACCATCATATCTCTACTCCCTGGCACAAAGTATGGCCTTGACACCTATTTGTTTAACGAATGAATGAAGGTTTAGACTCCACGGGTGGGAGAGAGCCATGATTGTGTCTACGGAGGACGCACCTCCCAGGTGCTGATCAGTTTTACGGGGCTGGGTGGGGTATGGAGTAGAGACATAAGCTGGATGCTGTTCCAAGGTGACTGGGGTCAAAGTCAGGCTGTGACCTTCTAACCAGGATACTTGTGATTCATGAGACAATGGCCACGTTCCCCATGGATTTTGCCCTGCTGTGGCCAGGATCTCCCCGCATCTGTCCCATGCCTCCTTCGTCTCCTCATCCTGCCCCCTTCTCCCACCTGCCTTCCAGGCGTCCTCTGCACGGATGGTCCTACTCCAACAGCCAAAAGTTTTAAGAACAGTGTCAGACGAATGCCCTCCCCTGGGAAGCTGGTGGTTACATTTTTCCATTCCTTGGAAGAGGGTGTCATATGAAGCTCAGGCATGTCTCTGTGGGTTGCTTTCAGTGAAACAGCCTAAAAGCTGTTTCCTGAAGGCAAAGATCAATCAATTCCAAATGTTCTAAGTCCTTTCTAACCTTGACTCAGGCAAAAAGAATGAGCAACATTAACGTCGCTAGAAAGGGCCTATGAGACAGCAGAAACCCTACGGAGCACTGACGAAATTTAACTGATTCAGTTACCAAAACACAGGGCTGTCCCGATCATCCTTGACTGTGTAGTACTCCTTATCGGTTTCAATTGCTTTGGTTAAACCGAAGTCTCCAATCTTCACTTGGTGTTCACTCTCGACAAGGACATTTCTTGCTGCTAAGTCTCGGTGAACGTATTG